GGCCTGGGATTTCTCCTGGCTCTCCTGTGCCCATTTTCTAGTTATCTACAGGCTGGATACAAGAGATTGCTTGGGGTGACAGAGCCATTTCAGAGGTGGCTCAACCTCGAGGGCCAGCAAGGGCTTCTGGGCAGGGCCCTCTGACATGCGCTGTGGAGGCCAGGGGCCTGGGCAGGGCCAAAATGGCGGGGATAGCAGAGCCCATGAGGTCTTGCTCCAAACAGAACCCCTTGCCAGAGCCTCCCGTATGGATTATTCCCATTGTTCCCAGGGCCTCCACCTCCCCTGCCGCAGCGTGGGAAGGGGCCCAGCAGAACGGTGCGAGTCCTCCTTCAGGACCTGAGCAGGCTCTGTCCTCCCCTCCCTGTACCCTCGTAGCCTGGGAACCAAGCCGGTCTTAAGCCTATCACAGTGGGGCAGAGATGCTATCCCAGTCTGCACACAGCCACAGGGGCCGAAAGGGACTCAGCGGTCATGGAGCCCAGCCCCAGCTCAACCAATTCCCCTCTCCCTGTACCGTCACTGCTGCCACCTAGTCAGCCTTTGCCAGAGCAGGCTTGGTGACAAGGAAGTCCCCCCCCCACTTGCCCCTAACATTGGCCAAAGAATTCCTTTTGTCCTAGTTACAGGTGAGTAAAGCTCAAGAGGAAGAGAAGTCCCCAGCTCCCTCCCCTCACCCAACACCACCTCCCACCGCAGCAGAGCTCCAACCCTCCCCAGCTGTTTTCTCCCCTTCCTGTCCCACCCAAATCCAGTATCCGGCACTCCACTGTCCCATTATCAATGTCCCCATTTTTGATAAGAATATGGAGACTCAGAGAGGAGAAAGCATTTGCCCAAGGCCACATTTTCATTTATTCAACAATCATTTATGGAAAGTTGGCAGCCAGGCTGGGTGCTAGGCAGACAGACAGACAGACAGCCAGGAACCTACAGCTGCCCTTCTAGGGCATTGCCAGAATGCTGCATGTCCCCAAGGAAGTGCCCGTGGCTCAGGCCTTCCCAAAAGAATGAAAGAATGAGTAGGAACTCAGCAGGCAGAAGTAGTGAGACAAATTCTGGGTCTTTGTTTTTTTAGTCTAAACCGGGCACAGCCTGATGTAAGCCTTTTCACCCATTCTCGTGATTGGAACCCTTTGTAACATCAAGCTCTCTGGAAAACTGACCTAGTCATTAAAAAGCAGTGTGCTGAGCCAATGATCACAGGAACCAGATGAAGGGGTCCAAGGCCAGGACCATCAGTGACAACCTGTGGCAGCATGGGACCTGCCCACCACTGGCCCCAGAGGCCACATCTCCTCTCTGACCCAGGACATGGCCACAGAGCCCCAGAGCCACCTCTACCATCACCACGAAAGGCTCTGCTTCTTGGCTCTGTCTTGAAGTGGGAAGTGAGCATGCCTCCCATGGGAAAAACCTAGATGGTGCTCCTGAAAGTGACCTCTGGGTCCCTCTAGAATCCAAAACTCCTGGGACATGTGCTTAAGCTGTAGGTTCCTGCCTCCCCACATTAAGAGTTTGACAATGTGGGGCGCCTGGGTGGCTCAGTGGGTTAAGCCGCTGCCTTCGGCTCAGGTCATGATCCCAGGTCCTGGGTTCGAGCCCCACATCGGGCTTTCTGCTCAGCGGGGAGCCTGCTTCCTCCTCTCTCTCTGCCTGCTTCTCTGCCTACTTGTGATTTCTCTCTGTCAAATAAATAAATAAAATCTTAAAAAAAAAAAAAGAGTTTGACAATGTGCCTCTTAACTTTGCGTTTTTCAGACCCTTCTCCGCCCAGACCTGTCCCTCCTGCTTTCCTACCCCTTCACCTTCTCAGTTCTCAGTCACTGCTGTGCCCCAGCGCCCAGCACAGGCAAGTAATCAGCAAACACCAAATGAGTCTTTAGCGAGTTCCCTTCCATGCCTCAGTTTCCCTTTCAGAAAAAAGACCTGACACTAGCCCTGCCCACTTCCTGACACCTCCATGGCCACTCCTCAGTGAATGTTACTGTCACACAAGTGTCCCTAAAGAAAATCCTCAGAAGAGTTCACGACAGGGAATCCACGTGAGGCCTTGACGGAGTTCTTGGTACCATTCTCACAACTTTTCTGTGAGTTAAGTGAATCCAAGATAAACAGTTAAAAATGAAAACAGCAAACATTAAAAAAAAGCCAATCACATTTTAGTAAGCATCCAGAAATGATCTAATAATTAAGTGTTTTGTGGCAAATAGTTTAACTGTGGGTAGACACTATACGCATCATTCGGACAGACTAGCAGTGATTTTTAAACCCTTTTTCTTTAGGTGGGGAGCCCACATTCTTCCCAGCCTGGCCCCAACCTCCCCCTTAGGGGACACTGTGGTCTTGGCTCATCTGTGCATCAGCCTCCCTTCTCCAGCAGTGACAAAACCAAGGCCTCCCCAGAGGTTGTGTGATCTGCTCAGGTTTGTCCAACCGGATGGTGGCTGAACTGGGGTTCGAACCCAGACTGACCTCTGAGCTGCTCTCTCACCACTAGGCTGTTCAGGCGCCTCCCTGTTCCGGCACACACTCTACGACCATTCATCTCCTTGCTCCGCTTCCTGAGCTCCCGCCAGCTCAATGACTCTCAGAAGCAACGATGCCTACTTCCCCCAGGTGCAGTGCCCTTGTCCTGCCATCCAGTTCCCTGCAGGCCAGTGGAAATGAATGAGGAGGCCCTGATGGTGTCCAAAAGTCTGGGCCACCACGTGGGCTGCTCTTCAGAGCTCTGAAGCCATGGAAAACAGCTCTCCTCTTCTCCAGCCAGGGTCCCAGCCCATCCCAGGAGGGCCGGGCCGTGGGGGCAGCCTCGGGGCTGGGCAAGCAGGAAGCAAGCCGGTGCTATGCATGGGCCGTGGCCTGAAGCAAGATCCAGACCGAAGGGATCAGTCACCGGGGGAGGACAAGTGTGGAAGGAAGGAGGCAGGCTTCCAGCTTCCAGAGGACACTGAGCCAGATTTGGGACTTTTCTTGGCATGACACTGAGGATGGTTTAGGGACCAGGGCTGCTGGATGTTGGGAGGATACAGGGGCACTAGGCAGAAACACAAGGGGTGCCAGGCATGCTGAGGGAGGCTGAAGTGAAACACGGGCCACCCCTGAGCTCACTGCCCTCAGGTGGGGGACTGTCTGAGATCTGGACTCTAACTGAGGAGGAAGTGAGGCAGACACTTTCGATGCCGGCGGCAGCTCCCTACTGAGTTGCTGTCCATCTTCCAAGCCAGACTGTCACTCCTTGGGGGCAAGGCCGGCATCTGATTCCTCTCCAGGCCGCCACTGCCCGGCTGTGGGTAGAACATACAGGGGCTTGGGAAGAACTGCCTTTGGTTTTTCAGGAATAAGAGGGAGGCTAGACCCATGCAGCCTAAAAAGATATGGAGACCTCACCTTGCTTCCAAGCCCTCCTTCTCCAAGAAGCACTTCCCTGACGCTCCGAGCCAGAGTAGCTCCTCTGTTCCTGGCTCTCACAGCCCCTTGTGTTTATACCACTCAGAGCTGCAGCACCCAGTATGGTCATGGGCCACCTCTGTCGCTGAGTTGTGAATAGCCAAAGGTTTGAAATGAACAGATCTCGAGCACCCGCTGAGCGCTGCTCTGGGTACCTTCCACCAGTTTTCCACAGCTGCGTGTAGAGCCCCCAGGTAGGCCAGAGCATCTGAAGTCCAGGCCAGGAAGGCACGAGGGCGGGAGCCCATAATGGTGGAAGGAGGGGGTAGGGCAAGTGAGGTGGATCTGCTCCTTCCCATCTGGGTTGGCCCAGGGGTAATGAGACAAACAGCACAGGCACCAAGGCCAGCCAGCAAGCTGGCCCCTGGTCTATGCATCTGTGTCCTGGCTAGATGCTTCTAAGTGGCCCCTGGGCTGCCCCTGATTTTTCAGATTGGGCAGTGGACGCCTTGGGAAGGTAGGACCATCCCCTTCTTCTCCTTCCACCCAGACTTGCCCTGCAGCATTATGTGAGCTGGTGCGGAGGGAGCAGGAACCCAGAGCCCTTCCCCGCTGCCCAGGCTAATCAATCGGCCCATGGGACCCTGCTTCCTGTCCCCAGCCAGGTACCGTGACCAGAAATCTAAAGGGCCATGAGACTGAAGTGAGAGTGGGTCCAGGTGTGGGAGGCCTCAACCACTGCTGAATGCGGTGGGAGGGGGCTCTCTCAGGGTTCACGGAGTGCGATCTTAAGATGCACAGCCTTCCACAATGTCAAACCAAAGGACAAATGGCTCAGGGAGAACACAATTCCTACCACACGTCAGGTGTTCCAGAGCCCAGTCCCAGTCACACTGAACTCATCTGAGCCCCCAGGAGGCCTGGGTGGGAGGAGGCCTGATGTGTTCCTTCCTTGGACTGACGGAGCTGCCCAGGTGCCCCCAGCTCAGAAGTGGCAGGTATCACTCTGCCTTTCCAAAGAGGACAAGGCTCTTGGCTCCCCTGCCCCACTCCAAACAATTCGGCCACAGAGCCTGTTGATAACACCTGGTGACACTTGATTCGGCGCCTTCTGTCTGGGACAGCTACCTTTCTGGTAGCCTTCCAGGAGGTTGCCCTGTGGCGAACGCATCCTCATCACAAGCAACCCCCCAGCCCCCTGCTCTGGGCTTCAGGGTGAGCCAGCCTCCGGCTCTCAGTGTTCTTACCTATGAAATGGACATGCGAACTAGCTGATCTGAAATGTCCTGATTCTTTTGCCTGCAGATCAACTCACAGCATCCTGGCCGCAGGCCATTCACTAACAATCAATCCCTCTTTTCCAGAAAGTCTTTTTTCTTTTGCCAGACTTCTTTGCCTCTCTAGGTTAGTATCTTTGCTTACAGTGAAAAACCAGAAAACCAAGTGCCTTGCCTCCCTGGTGGAAGCCCAGGAGGACTGCGTGGAGCGGGTGAGCATTATGGAAGGGGAAACTGAGGCCCCGAGCCGTTCCTGCCACCTGTCTGGCCATGGGCCAGGCCCCCCCGCTCTCTCTCCACCGGGCCGCGCCAATGGCGACTCGACAGCCCTACCTGGCACAGGTGCCCGGCTCGCGGGGCGGGCAGGAGGCGCGGGCTCCCTCAGGTGGACAGCGTCCAGCCGGGCCGAGCCGGGTCGGGCGGGGGCGGCTGGTGCGGGGCAGCGGACGGCGGGTGCAGCGAAGAGCGCGCAGGGCAGCGAGAAGGCGCGGACTGGGCTCCACCCGCAGGCGAACAAACAGGTTTTCACCGGCGCCCAGTGCCTCGCCCCTCGCCCCTCCCCTTGGCCGGCCCCCTTCCCCTGCCCTGTCTTGGGGTAGGTAGATGCGCCTGGCACATTCCGCACATTCTCCCGCCAGTGTCCTCGGCCGGCCCGCCCCTTCCCAGACCCGCCCCGCGGGGCTGCTGGAGAAATCAAGGCCGGGGCTCCCCACGCCGAGCCCAGAGCAAGCTCCAGAAGGCTCTGCCACGGTGGAAAACTTCCAGACAAATTCCTTTGGGCTTGCGCCCTAGGCCGGGAGTTCTCCGCCACACGAAGGGCCCTGGCGGCCTATTACGCCCCTGCCCGCACCCGACGGGATCCGGCCCCCAGTAGGGCCAATGACTTCCACAGATGCTGTGGGTTAATGCTGTTGAGAACTACTGTTTCTAGATCCATTTTACAGATGAAAATCCCAGACAGGGTCGGGGAGGGGGTCGGGGGCCGAGAGGCTGAGGTCATACAGGAAGTCCCAGAGGCTGGGAAGGAGGAGAAGAGTGAGGGGGCTGGGCTCACCGGAGGCACCAGGTAAGTTCTCACCCTGGAAGGCCATGCTTCGAGCACCCAGTCAGCAAGCAGGGCCACCTCACAGGTGACACATCCAGACCCCTAGGGTCAGTGCAGTCTGATAAGGGCCATTCATTCATGCCTTTTGGGCGCTTGTGTAAGTACAGGGCACAGGGCTAGGGGCTAGGAAGGAGGAAGCATCAGAAGAAGCTCCAACCCTACCTATGGGTGCAGGCAATGCCTCCGATGCCACAGTTAAATCAGTCCAATAGAGTTGGCCAAAGTTGGCCTATCAGGATGACGGTCTCAAGGCTAGGACCCAAATGGCCTCCAATCCATAGACTCCCGTGCACACCCACTGCCACCACCTAGTCCAGATGCCTGCAACTCTTGATGGCTTCCCATTGCTCTTAGGATAAAGGCCAAACTGTAAGGGGGCCCAGATGTGGTGCAGACCCAGCCACACTCCCCTCCTTCTGCCTTTTGAATAGATCACAAGTCCTAGCCCCTGGGGGCATTTGTTCCTGGCACTCAGACTCCCTAGAATGTTCTTTGTCCCCTTGTCTTGGTCATTCTCCAAGCCTTCACTCAAGTGGCTGTAGCTCTTTTTCTGACTGCATGGGCCACCCAGACAAGGAGATTGCTTCCTTCCCCCAGTTTCCTCTGCTGACATTGCTCTCGCATAGTGGACATCACCCTTTATTGTTCTAGATGGTGAGCTCCAGGAGGGCAGCACCCCATCTGAGTCGTCACTGGGGCACAGAGACAAGCACAAGGGGTTGGAGAGGAATTGCAGAAGGAGGGGATTGAAGGGTGATTGAAACTCTGGAAGTATTCTCATTTTCTCTTCCTGGGTTTTGTCAGGTGGGGAGGAGATGACCCTGTGTCCGTGTGACGATGTGTGTGGGGGTGGTGATGGGAGAATTGGAGAATGGGTGATGGGAGAATTATATATAATTCTCTGACATGACTGGTGTTCTTGGTTCATCTGTCTCTTGCCAGTCAGCATTTTTCTGCTTCCAGTCTGGTGACCAGCATCGAACGCCTTCCCATCCCCCACCTTGGGCTGCTGGTGGCCATGGATTTGGCTTGGCATCGTAACTCCTAAATATACCCACTGTATGACCTAAGGTGTGTGGACCCCCTTCCCTTTCCAAAACCCCTAGCTTAAAGATGTAGAATGTGGAGGGCAGAGTGATGGGATAGATCTAAGGGTGAAGAAGAGGGTGGCCCTTGCCTCCCAAGGCCACCAGTGGGAAAGGGCAAGTTTGGTCCAGAACCTTAAGTGTGGGTGGGCCAGGTAGGGAGCACCAGCAAGAGTGGGGTCCAAGGACAGCAATGGCCACTCAATGAGGGCTGTCCTGGGTTGGGCTGCCCTGGGGCCTTGAGCTCTTCCCATGTCCCAGGTGACTCAGCCCTTACCCAGGCCAGATATGCCACAACAGCACCAGCCTAAGAGACCAGCCTTTCCTCAACTCCTCCCTCCCTCCCAGGCTGCCAGGCCCTGCAGCTGATCTCACCTACAAACGGGTTTGACTCGAATGGTAACTGCCTTGCCCTACCCTGCCCTGCCTTGCCCACCTGTTCACTGCCCCAACAGAACCCCCCCACTCCTGCCAGGGCCACCCCCAGCCACCTCAGCCAGGCTTCAAGGCCCGGCCAACTTCATCAGCCTCTTCTTTGACTCCTTGTCCTCACAGACCTGGGCCCAGACACACCAAGTGCTTTCACAACACTGTACAAGATGTGTTCTTTGTAGTGACCTACCTACTCCTAGTCACAACATTGGATTCTTTATGAACTTCACCTTGGCCTACAACTTGAGGGCCAAGACCCTGTGGCTGTTGGCTGCCTCCAGACTGGGCTCTACCTCTGCTGGGCCTGCAAGGCAGAGGCAGGAGAGGACACGTGACACCCTCTCCGAAGCAGGGGTGGGTGCGGTCACAGCCCCTGAGCAGGCAAGAAGACAGATTCTCTAGGAGACTAGGTTGAAGGTGAGTAGGGGGATAAGTGGCTGTGTGGAAGGAACTGGCCAACAGTGCTCCTAAGCGCTAGGGAGGCTCTGGGGCCGGGAAAATACTCCGGCAAGCCAGTGTAGCCAAAAAGTTCCCAGGCTTAGGAAGGGGGCTAATGGGTGGGGCTCTGAAAGCTGTCAGGCCCCAAAGCCAATCCCCCAGCACAGCGTCCTCATGTTGGAGGGGACTGGAGACGAAGCCCTGACCCAGACCCTGCCCAGACAGGGATGGCATCTAGCTGAGGCCACACAGGTGGTCGAAACCAAACTAGGACTAAAGCCAGGTCCCCAGTTACTCTGGATGGAGCCCCTGTCCAGCTAGGTCACTCAGGTTCACGTGTGGGGAGGCCCGGGCCCATGGTTGCACCCTAATTCCCTTCTTCCCTCCCTCCTTCCAGGACTCACCCTGCTGCCTCATCTTCCTAAGCTCTTCAACCAGTTTCCACTTGCTGGGTGACTCTGCCAGCTCCAAGCAGGGTGGGTCGCCTGGGGCCAGGGGTCCCCAGGCATGGCTGCACTCATAGTGGCCCCTACGGAGCTCTGAACCTGCAGGGCCAGACCTCTGAATCTGTAACCAGCTCTCCAGGTTCCTGGGAGCTGATCCAATCTGTCTGTGAGACCCCGCCTGCCCAGTCTTGCCTTTGAGGGGCCCCCGCCCTGCCCTCAGCCTGTATTCCCAACTATAGGGCTGGTCCCCTTCCCTGGCATAGATGCATACTCTCACTCACCAAGTGTCCCCTTTGGGCCTCCTGTTCCCCACCACACTGCCACACCCTCCACCCACTTAGAGACCAGTCAGACCCAGTCCTGTCTTGGAGCAGCTCCCAGTCTGATGGGAAAGGCAGACCAGTTCAGTTCCAAGGGGAGGAATCCATGCCTTGGGATTTCTTGCTCTGTGGACAGTGGACCTACTGGGAGCAGGGACGTCAGGTCATGCAGGTCAGGACCAACTTGACATCTCCCACCCCTATAGGCTGGACTATCCAGTGCTTTTGACTAAGTCCAAGAAACACTCTGCCATCAGTTTTGGCCTATGTGACCTGATACCCCAGAACTCAGACTGCTTCTCGTCTCTGGCTCTGAAGCAATCCCGGGCCAGGCCCCCAGAGCACGAGTGCACAGGCTGAGCCAAGGCCTCGCTGGCAGATAATCCTCGCATGCCCTGAAGAATGGCTTTTTGCTGCTTTAAGAATCATCCACAGATCGGAAAAAGAATGTTCTAATTGGAAAACCTCCCCGCCATGGTTTTCCGGAGTTTTAGTACAGTTGGCCGGCAAGGAGGCTCCGGGGATGAGGAGGAGACAGTGGGCTCCCTGCCCAGTGCCCCTTTATCCCCAAGCTCAGCTACTCTGGGCAAGGGGCCATGCTGAGGGTCCCAGCGACAGGAGAATTTGGAGGCTGTCTGGCCCTGCTGAGAGCCCCTCCCTCAAGCCAGTCCCAAGCCCGGCCCCTTAGAGGCCCTGCTAATGCCCCAGAAGCAGCCCAGACTCTCAGGACCCACTTGAAAGACTGATTTCCACTGCATTGTGAGCACTGGCCCAGAAGAAAAATGGTGTGGAAGCTACCACCTGCTCAAAAAACAGGAAGGCCAGACTTGGTGTTGGAGGGTGTGGAGAGCCTCTGACATGACTGGTGTTCTGGGCTGGAAGACCAGGTCCGGGCGGGGGGAGAGATGCAGGCTGCAAGGGAAAACTGACCTCGGAACAGCTAGATCTGTGTGGCAGGGATGGGAACTCTCACTTGGGGACCCTGCTAAGCCTGGCTAGGTTAAACCACTGGCCAGTAGAGCTGAGGCCCCAGCAACCTGTGGGTCTGTCCAGCTCCAAGAGTTTCTGATTTGTTCTTTTTGGTTAAGCATTCCCTCACACTTGGGAAATGCCTACCTGGGAAGGGGAAATGCAGGGGATTCTTGAAACTCTTTTACACAGGAGAGCCAGGTTACTGTCACTCACCTCTTTCAGGATGTTTGCTTTCCTATTAGTCTTTTCTGGAAACCTCCCTGAGTGCTTAGCTGCCTTGATCTCCTCAAGAGAAATAGCCTTTGAGACATTGGATGGAAGAGTTCAGAGGCTGCTTGAGCAGGGTCAAGGAACGGCTGGCTAAAGCCCTCTTGGATGGAAACTCACATCTCAGCATAGCAAGAAGGGTCTGGCTCTCATCACAAGGGATCAGGAAAGCCAGGATGTGGGGCATACCTGTGTCCTGTTCATTCCACTTGGCCCCAGTAACCTGTACCTGTACCTTGACCAAATGGCTCTAGGTTCCCTGGCATCCCTTCCTTCCCAACCTTCCCAGTGGTGACTTTGTGGACTGCAGC